ATTTATATTGTTTCTTCATTTTCAGGAGAAAGGTGTGTAGGATAAGAGAGATGCCATTTATGCTTCCTCCTTCCTACTATGAAGTAGGGGGGAATTGATAAGATATACACTAAACAGGGGTTTAAAGGAGAGAACTGGGGTTTTAGAATTTATGTCTTCGCTTCATGTGTGAATGATGACGTTTGGCCTTTTGCCTCTTGCCAATCTGCTCGTCAATGGTGGGGCCGTTATTTGCATATCTAATGAATAGCGTCTAGATATAGGTTGATCCTGATTCGTTTATATTCAGATTTAAATTGAACATCTGTTCGATTTATATAGAAGAGTTTGGATCTCCTGCCAACAAAACGCATTCCAAACCCCTACAGCCCTTCCAAAACCCCTACGGTATTACATTGGTAGGGTGTTAGATTACTGGGTTGGCCCGATGATCATCGAGAAAAGACACCCTAAAATGAACCAATATAATGAACCTAAAAGCATTTCCCGATCAAATACAACTTATCACGTTAACAGAGACAATCGAAATAGAGGGAAATGGGAAAAATACTTGAAAAAAACAGAGAGAAAACCAAAAAAAGCTTCATTTAATTTAAGCATCTAATTGATTGTTTGATGATGAAAACAAAGAGGTTGAAAAAAATCCATTCCTCCCTTCAATTCGAATTTGTGGTTTGGGCAAACCATCCCATACTTGACACGTGTTGGCTCTAATCAGTGAAGAGGTTTGTCAGGTAAGTGCTTCGGGAGAAGATTAGATAAGGCCTAAGGGAAGAAAGGAGTAGGTTCCATAGTGGTTTTATTATTATTTTATTTTCTTTATTCAACTACAAATGTTAACCGTTAATTAAATAAAATTGGAAAAATAAAAAACATTAAAGGTAAAAATGGAAAGTGAAAATCAGGCTTTTTGACGAAACATTGCCACCATCCTCATTTTTATAGATGGTACAAAAATATGCAATCTGATACTAGAYTTTTAGAAAGATGAAGTTAATTCTTTATTATTTCAAATGTATGATTTATATGAATCACAAACAACAATAGGACATCAAAAAATTGTACAACCACACTATCTGAAAGTACTAGTGGTGGTAGTGTAGCAGATAAAATTTGGTCATTGATAAGAAAAAAGGAGATGGTCATCAAGTTCATTTACTGAACTTCATTTTTATTTGCAAGTTAATTTTACAGATTTTCTCACATTTGAGTAATTAAATAATTTTGATATTTTCGCCTAGTGGAAAGCACATAAAATGATTATTCTATGCTTGCTATCATGCCATGTGATCTATTAACCCCTCTAGTGTCCACAATTCTATTAGAGTCTTGTTTTAGTGTAGGTAAAATCCTTCAGTCTGCACTTCTACCTTCCCTGGAATATGTTCCGGTTTTGCCCTCACAATTACTTTTGCTGTTGCTGACTAAAGGTTTTCCACCATCATCTCCTCCATTATACTCACACAGAATGGCAATCTTCTCAACATTTCTTCTGACCACAAGTGAAAAGGCAGCCCACTACAACTTGGTCTATGTGATACCTCATCCTTGTATTGCATGCTAGGTTCCATTTAGCTATCCATAGAGATCCTGCAGGTGATTTAAGTCATCTTCAACTTCCATTATCACCTGAGTGATTGAACAGAGCTAACACTGGGTTCCTTTTCAGAAGGAGCTTTCTTGACAAGATTGCCGATCTCTGCGCAATCCTCAACTTTCTTTGCTGTAATAGTCTCTGCTTCCATCTCTTTTCTGCCATTTACTAGGATTTTTGGATTGACTAGGGTTGTCACCATGGTCACTTCTTCCCCATTTACTGCCCCTTTCTCTTCCACTTCTTCCTTTCTAACCTCCTCTCCTTGTTGATTACATTCTTCTCCTTTGCTCTCGGACCACTATTCCATTACCCTCTGTAGCTCCACCTTGATGCTCTCCTATGTTCCAGGAAGCAAACCAGCTGGTTGTTCCTTTCCCCAAAGAACTCAATCATCCCATAAACCATCCTTTTTCATTCCATTTTCTCTCCTTGACATAATTCCTTCACATGATGTGGTATTCCTTGAGACCATGGCTTGGTTTGGGAAGAGTGCAAATACAAGATTTAGAAATACTGTATACAGGGTTTTGATAGAACATATTTGTATTTGCACTCTTCCCAAATTGAGCTAAGCTTCTTTGTGTAGGTCGCACCATCCAAAAAACCTTTGTACCAAGCTACATTTTTTTTTTGTAAATGATCCATACTGCTATGTTAAGGGCCCGCGAATAAAATCTCCTGCTTCAATTTATAAAACCAGAGCTGCGCTTCCTCTGTCATGTGGAATGCGGTTAAGCTTACCTTGTCCCTGTCCTCTGTCCGTTGGTTGCGGAAGAACTGCTCACATCTGTACAGCCATCCCAAAGGATCTCCAATTCCATTATAGGAAGGAAATTCCAGCCTGCTGTATTTGGGAACGATCGCAGTTCCCTAGGCAACAACCTGCTGCTCGCCGGACAATTCTGCCATGTCTGGTCGGCGGCCGTCTGTGGTTGCAGCCCCTTCTGAACTCTTTTCCTTGCTGGAAAAATATAACTCCATCAAGTGCTTCAATTCTCGGACGTCGTCCTTGATCTCGCGCACCTCSTTGCTGTTTTCCACGAGTTTGTGCTCCAGATCATGAATCCTAGTCTTCAATTGCTTAAAGTCACCCATGACGCCCTGTTCTGATACCAAATTGTTAAGGGCCCGCGAATAGGATCTCGTCAGGTCGGTTAACGGGGAAAACTTCTTGTTTTCCCTTGTTTCTCCCTTTTCTCGAGGAACCTATCTTTAGCGCCTTTATGGTGATTTGTTAAAAAGATCACCAACTGTCCTCTGCTCTTTCTTGACTGAAATTATCGATAGTTTTATTGAATAACATCTGCTCCTTTAAATAAGAATTACAAGAGTCCTAATTAAGGAAACTTTCTAAAAAGAACATTAAGAAATTTTCTAAAAGACATAGGAAATAATAATGCTACTGCCTAATTAATAGGAACACTGAATTTAGCTAAGAGATAAGATAGGAACACTGAATCTAGCCAAGAGATAAGATAGGAACACTGAATCTAACTAAGAGATAAGATAGGAACACTGAATCTAGCTAAGAGATAAGATAGGAACACTGAATCTAGCTAAGAGATAAGATAAGATAGGAACACTGAATCTAACGCCCATTACTGCTGCTGTTTGTGGCTGTATTCCTTTCCAACAAAAGCATCCGCAATATGCTACATTTTTCTTGATAAGTGACCCATACTGCTACATTTTTCTTGATAAGTGACCCATACTGCTACATTGCCAACTAACAGCAGTAACAACATGGCTGCTTTTGTTAACTCCCTATCTTCAGAGCCAGAATTCCTTTTCCTGTAGTTTCCTCAAACTTAAACTTCTTCAATTCCAGCTGGTTGTAGCAGAGATTTGGGATCAAATCCTGTTGTCACCAGGGTTTGGGGGGTTATGGGTATGGGGGACTGGCTGCCCTGTATTGTGTAGGTTCATGAAGCACAAAAAAATCAATTTGATAGGCACTTCTTCTCAATCTGGTTGTTGGATGAAAATCTGCCATGGTTTCTTCCTTTACTCTTAGAAAAACCTAACCTGAATGAGATGTTCACTCTGGAAATCAAGGTTTTCGCCTCCCTGATAAAATGTAACCAATGTTTTGAAACACGGAGGCGTGACGCGAGGCATTCCACTACCTAGAGGCGTGAGGCATAGTTCAGAATGCAAGAGGCATAGCATTAGTTGAAGGGGGGGGGGCAAACCACTTTCTTCCCCCTTATCTTTTCTTCCCTTCCCTTTCCTTTCCTTTTCTTTCCTTTTCTCTCTTTTTCTTCTCTTTCTTTTTCATTCCCTTCTCTTTCTTTTCCTTTCCTTCCCTTTCCTTTTTTTCTTTTTTCTTTTTTCTTTTTTCTTTTTTTTTTGTCTTTTTATATCAGATGTGCATGAGGCATACGCCTCTAGCACGCCTCATGAAAAAAGCGCAAGAGGCATATGCCTCTTGCACCTGAGGCGTACGCCTCCAAGGTGTTAGTGCCTCTGGCGTAGGCATATGCCTCAGGGCGTTTTAGGGGTGCCTCGCCTGGAGGTGCGCCTCCAGGCGTACGCCTCCCACGCCTTTTAAAACACTGAATGTAACAAACTTCAAGGGCTCTCAAAACCATCTGATTTTGCTTTGTCTTAAATAATTTGCATAATCAAAAAGACATATTGACACATGTTTTGTGTCAACATGTGTGCAAAGCCCTAAAAATCTATAGGAGTGATGATTTCTTGTCATAGTCACATCCACTTTTCATCTCTATCATTATGTCTGGACTTACTGGTGTAGATTATAAATTTCCTCCATTGCAATAGTTTCCCAAGTTAAATTATTTTGGTGTTCCTTATGTATGGGTGTGTGTCCCTAGTTTATAAATTTCCTGAATGGTCATTTGGGATGTTCTGTGTTCTAATAGGTAATTTTTGTGTACAAAAAGAATGGCTAGCATATTAACAAAGCTCTTCTCTTTATTTTCCTGGAAAGTCTTTCTGAAGTATATTTGCTTCAAAATGTTGGACTGAACTTTGACAAGAATATAGATTTGCATCCATGAAAGAAATCCAATTTTCTCTCATCAGTCTACCGACAGTTAATATTGAAGAAAATGCATACCATGTTCTTTAGTGGACAATCATGAAATTTACACTAGATACAAAAGATCTGAAGCCAAAACAAAAGGTAGTTTGTAGTTGTTACATTGCCAAAAATTTATTATTGGAGGGTTTGTAAGTAGGTTATTGTAAAAGTGTAATTGAATTGCATCTTATCACATTTCATCTGTTTCAGACTTCTATACTGCTAGTTTATTGCTACAAGCACTACCTTTGTCAAGCTCATCTTAGCTTGTATCTATTGTATTAATTGTTTCTCTGTGCATTTCAGCAAATACTAATTCTGTTTTTATAACATATATGTTCTTTTTGCATGTTTCAGAAGTAGAACAAGAAAATGATATCTTCTCGCCTCAGTTTGATGATCCTTTAATCAGATATGAAGAATTAAATCAATTCGATGGTTGTGCACATATCTCTGCGGATTCTCAGATCAAATTGTTAACAGATTCTTGTTCCACTTGGAAAATGAATTCTTCTGCTATTGAAGAAWCTTCAGAATATGATGGATCATTTCATGATGGTGCCACTGCTATTCCTAAAAAGGATTCTGCAGGGAATTTTGAAGCCACAAAAAATCTAGCTGTTGAACAAAACAGAAATGATCTTAATGACAGAATTTGCAAGCAGATTTCTGTCACTGATGTAATGTGTGCAAAATGCAAGCAACTGCTCTTTCAACCTGCAGTTCTTAATTGTGGTCATGGTAAGGTTTTGCATTTGATAGCAGAAGGAAAAAGTTTTATTAAAAGAAAAAGATAAAGATAGTTACCATCTGGTGCTTTTTTTTTGTTTTTTTTCTGCTGGTGGTGTTTGAGTTAAGTCCCAGAATTCTCTTTATTCAAGTCTTTAAATTTACGAAGAGATAAAGATTAGTCCACCTGATGAGCACAAATATCATCAACCGATTTTCTTCCATGTCAATATTTTCTTCAAAACTATCTTATTTCTCTAAAAACATGGAAAAATACCCGAAACTATAAAGCTTTCTTTCCCCTACCCAACCTTTTCCATATGGAAAAAATCTCTATTGGTCAGCTCTGCTCCAAGTCTTGAAGATAGGCAAGCACCTGAAGTTGTAGAGTTTAGTAGTTGAAGGTGACTAGAAACAATCTCATACAGCCCTAAAAAATCCAAAAAATAGAGTTGACACCAAACATTGTGGAGAGAATAGGGTTGGGAAAGCACTATCTCACAATGTTTCTCAAATCCCTGCTAAGCCTGAATTACCTAGAGAGAGCGTCTGTCAAAGTTCTTCAAAGTTTTGATACACCATGGTGGTGAAAGAGATCTTTGTGAATTTGAGTGAGGTAGAGGTTCTAAGGTGATGAGGTAGGTCGTTTCGTTAGCACTGAACCTGATGAGGTAGACGTTCTAAGGTGGGTCAGATTAGAGTGGAGCTTAAAAGAAGACGTTCAGCTGAGAAAACTAAATGCAGGCTTTTTTCTTTTTATTTTCTGTAGTAAGGAAGAGGCAGATGAAGTCTTGGAAAGTGAAGCAACTAAGCTTAGGATGCCTAATYTACAGCTGGGTAGATGGAATCCACTTGTGGGGGCAATTCGAGAAGTGGGAGCAAAAGCCTTGTTTGGATTAATGTCTTTGGGATTCCCTTCCATGCTTGGAAGTTTAATAGTTTTTGTGCCATTGGAAACGCCTACGGTTGCTTCAGAAGAGTTGATGCTTGAATGTACAAGTTGAAGAGTCTGGTTGCCACGAGAAGCCTGGTTGGAGTAGAGAACTTACAGTTGATCCCGTTGAGCCTAGTGCTAAACTTTGGTACGACTTGAGGTTGGTGATAGAAGGATGCTTCCTGCTACGCTAGCTTCAAGAGGACACAATGATGTTGCCTAATTGAACTCAGGAGTTTGTTTGTTTTGCAGAGGAAATAAAGGAGTCGTTTGAGCAGGGGAATAGAAGTTTGGAGGAAGAAGACGATGGAAACCGAAGGGTTGGGCAGTTGGATAGTTAGGAGGGGGAGAGGGGAGAATCTAGAGAGATGGGGGGGTAAAGAAGTAATTTCTCAGATGGGAGCTGAGAGGTCTTTAGTGGAGGAGGGACATGTGGGTGGAGCTTTTAAGAGGGGGGTCATTCTCGATAAATCTAATTGCACCTTCTCGAGTATGAATTTGGAACAGATCAAGAGTAGGACCCACAAGTTTAGAAAGATTTTGAGTAATTTTAAGAAGGGTGGGACACACATGTTGGGTAAAGTAAGTTGGGAATTTGAGAGGGGAGAATTGAGAGAAGAATTAGAGCAAGGCATGGGACGGCTTATAGGATTCATTTGCTGGTTTGTCGGATGTTGGTGCTTCTAAAGTTTCATTTTATGTGCGTGGCTCGGGGACATGTGAAGATAAATCGAGTTCGAAGGAGTCACTTCAAGATTCACAGGGCAAGGTCACTCCCATTATTCTGTTGCTTGAACCTGTAAAGGTAAACAAGAACCATGCCCTTTATCTCCTTGCTTGCAGCTGAGTCAGGAGAGTGGAGGTTTTGTTTCTTGTCACTAGGAGGAAGTCTTGGAAAGGTAGTTGGGAGTAAAGGAAGTCAGTGAAGCTAGGGTGGAGGTGGAAGAAGGGTTGAACAACAAAACCAAGGACGAGGAGGAGGGAGGCATTAACGAAGAAGGAAGCAACCTATTAGAAGTTGAGGGTGAGAAGGGGATTGATTTAGATTTTCAAGACGTTGCATAGGAATGATGCTGATTATGTGGTATCCGAAGTGGTTGTTGGAAGATTGGGAGTGGACATGGGCCGTAGGGGTAGCCATGTTGTTAGGGCCCATTCTGGCTTGAGTCTCCTAAGGTTCTACTTTACTCATTTTGCTCATGTGATGTGGGTAGTTTATGCACAACTATGTTTGTACTAAGGCCGGGCATGTCCTTGTAAGACCAAGCAATTTTTTTTTTCAAACTACTTTAACAACGTTACCATAAATTCTCTCTATGGGACTAAAGGTAGTGCCTATCTTAACCATCTTTGGACCATCCTCAATGCCTAGGTTAATAGTTTGTCWCATCCTCTATTGGTTAGGACCTTTCTTCGTGCCTTTCGAATGATTTTGCTAGCCCTTCTTGAGTATCCTCGTGCTCATCACTTGGACCATTTTCGGGGTTAGAAGGCAAAGCCAATTTGAAATTTTCAGAATTTTCAAAACAATTTTGGATTTTTCCTGATTTTTGAAATTTTTTGATTTTTGCAAAATTCTTGATTGTTTTTGGATTTTAAAAAATATTTGATCTATTTTTTGGTTATTGCAAAATATTTGATTTTTGAAATGATGATGCAATGCAAGGTGATGCGATGCTAGTTGATGCAACACAAGAAGCCTCCAATATGGGGAGGTTCATGAACCTTTTTTTTTGAACCACAAATGGGTCTAATGGTCGGCCAGATGACCTTGGGACTGATTTCCCTATTGAAGTTTGGACCTGTCATTGGTCGGATGCACATGATTGGGTCTATGTCTTGCCCACTATGAATTGGAGCCATGATAGTGCAATTATGGTACTCTACCCAATTCCCACTCAAAGCTCATGGGGCCCCACCCCCAAGATGATAAAATGGAGATTCCATACTTGGGATGTGGAGTTACTGCCCATCTACTGTTGGGTAAAGGTGGCAAGCCAAACCGTGGGCTTGATGACATTGAAACGATTTCCATTGGGTCCGACTCGCTCGACTCACTTGCTTCCACACTAGATTCCAATGCAAGGGTGTTTCGCTCAGCCCAATGTCCTTCCTAGGCCCGTCTCAGGGTGTCCATGAGTGCTTTCTTTTTACCTCTGTCCTTTTGTAGAATCTGTGGATTCTAACTCTATCATTTGATGACTCATCCTCCTTAATATCTATAAAAAATCTCTAGATGCGATAATAGGAATCTTCATCCATGGTGTGGGGGTTTCAAGTAAAAAAATACGAGGAGTGCCCCACCAAGGTTCAAATTAACATGATGAATCATGCAGAAAACCAGTTTCTTTCTTCATTGGTATATAAGCAACATTGTTCAAGGAGGTCTATCATCTGCATTGGGTCCACATAAATCCATTCTTCATTATCCTACATTGGGTCGTACATTAGTGACTGTCAAACGTTCGGGCTAACCCAATCGCTTGGAGGGATGGGAGTGACATATGCCTCCTTATTTCCCCAACCCTTTGGGCATGATACCATTGTGGATAGGACTCAATTTCAAAGGCAGCCAATGTATTTGACTGTTGACTGACTTTGGCTGGATAAAGAGTTTGAGGTCCCTTGTAGTCAACAATCGGGTTACATCAGGCAGTGCTTCACCATTTAGTTCATGGAAGAGATCAGTTAGACCGAGGATGTTTGAATCATCAAGTTGAAAAGGGTCATYGATCGTTTCAATCGGCTTGGGAATCGGGCTAAGGAAATCCCCATCTGCAGGGTCTTCTAATATCATGAGAGTGCCAACATTGAGATACATGGGATATGTGTTAGGGCTAGGATTGGGTAAAGAACAACACAGCATTATTGAACCAATCTCAATACCAGAACTCAAGGGAAGGTTTGAAATAGAGCACAAGCCAACAAAGGCTAAGTTGAAGGCAGCCTGGTTAAGGGAACCGATGCCAATCGCACCTTACATGTTGAACCTAAATGACTATTTCATTAAGGCCGGGCAAAAACCAATTAACCTTCCAACCCTTAAGTTAGACCCAAGGGCCATAGCCTTTGGTGGGAAGAGGAAAGATTTCAAGAAGAAGATTTTGACTCTTACAAGCATAAAATCTAATTGATGATTCTAATCTCCTCGGTCAATGACCCTTTTCAACTTGATGATTCTAACCTCCTCGGTCTAACTGATTTCTTCCATGAACTAAATAGTGAAGCACTGCCTGATGTAGCCCGATTGTTAACTACAGGGGACCTCAGACTCTTTAACCGGCCAAAGTCAGTCAACAATCAAATACATTGGCTGCCTTTGAAATTGAGTCCTTTCCACAATGGTATCGTGCCTGAAGGGTTGGGGAAATAAGGAGGCATATGTCACTCCCATCCCTCCAAGCGATTGGATTAGCCCGAACCTTTGACAGTCATTGATGTATGACCCAACGTAGGATAACAAAGAATGGATTATGTGGACCCAATGTAGATGATAGACCTCCTTGAACAATGTTGCTTATATACCAATGAAGAAAGAAACTGGGTTTTCTACATGACTCATCATGTTAATTTGAACCTTGGTGGGGCACTCCCCGTATTTTTGACTTGAAACCCCCACACCGTGGATGAAGATTCTTATTGTCGCATCTAGAGATTTTTTATAGATATTGAGGATGAGTCATCAGATGATAGAGTTAGAATCCACAGATTCTACAGAAGGGCAGAGGTCAAAAGAAAGCACTCATGGACCCCCTGAAACAGGCCTAGGAAGGACCTTGGGTTGATCAAAACACCCCTGCATTGGAATCTAGTGTGGAAGCAAGTGAATCGAGCGAGTCAGACCCAATGGAAATCGTCTCAATATCATCAAGCCCACAGTTTGGCGTGCCACCTTTACCCAACAATAGTATGGGCAATAACTTCACATCCCAAGTATGGAATCTCCATTTTATCATCCTGGGGGTGGGCCCCCATGAGCTTTGAGTGGGAATTGGGTAGAATTCCATAATTGCACTATCATGGCTCCAATTCATAGTGGGCAAGACATAGACCCAACCATGTGCATCCGACCAATGAC